CAATGTAAAATAGTTGAATGCAAAAAATTACAATATTTAATGCTTATGTTTAGATATCCGCGGGCAAGTATTCTTCGACCTTTCATTGCTGTCAAAAGAAAAATGAAGATCTGGCGAACAAAATCAGTGCCGCCCTTACCACAATCCTTGGATGACTACGTGAATTTATTTAATAAGCAGCCTTGGAACGAAAAGTATGCAAGCTACGCCGGAGGAACCATAACAGTTACATCAATACGTGGATTAGGACGTTCTACATCAGTAGTATTTGCAGATATTAATTATTTGAGGTCACTTAATATCAAAAATTTTCATCTCGACGCTACATTTAAAGTCTGTCCTCGAAGGCCGCAGGTTTTACAGTTATTAACTCTGATGGGTAGAATTGATGATACGGTAAGTTCAGAGTTGATAAATCCCTTGGTTTTTTTCGTTAAAAATTCAGTAAAATCAGATCGGAGCATCCTTAGGGTGTGTCAGTCCACTTTTATTGCATTTATAAATAACAAGAAATAAGATATATCTTAACGTTAGATATTCTTTCTCCTTTTTGTGATATATTATTATTATTAATAATTTTATAACGACATAAGATATATCTTTATGATCTATATATTATTTAGCAATATAATGAAAGTCGACCAAAGCTATGTCAGGATGTTTTTATCAAATTTTGCCCCCTTTCAAATTGAAGAAATGGGAGAATGAGCTCAATGTAGGTGATTTTATTGCATGGTGAGTCACTGTAAATAATGAAATTTTTCGACTTTTCTCGAAAATACCTGCTTCGAACCTACAGAAATCGATTCAATAATAATTATAGAAAAGATATTCTTGAATGTTAAAAAAATGAAAAATTTTAAGACACAGTTTGGAAAGTAATCTAAAAGTATACAAAAATCGTTATCAATTTGGAAAAGGGTGGTGTTTACAGGTTGAGTCCTTTTCCGCGGAACGTCTCCAATATAATATATTCACACACTGTCATGCAGCCTGTTGTTATTTCCTATTTTAAATTAAAATAACACCAATATTGTGGGTCAACATAGTTCGAGTTGACATTAAATAACGCACCCATGAAAAACTGTACATCTTTTTGTGACCATATAAAATATTTTTAGATGATTCTATGGATTATTCAAAGGTGACTGAATCGGTCATTGAAAATTGTGAATGCGCTTAAAAAATATGCATACATTCTCCAGCTGCAAATTAAAATTTCCAAATGTCCAAATTTAATTAATGTTATGTCGATTTAGCCTATCCCAATTGCTTGGATTCTCATGGGAAGTAAAAACGTCGGAGCATATGTTGCTGTACTACGATGGTTCAAAAATATTGGTGCTCCACATTGGATACCCGAGACATTTACAATTGATTTTGAACAAGCCCTAAGTTCAGCGATTCTGCTGACCTACCCTAATACTCGAATTATCCGGTGTTTCTTTCATTACTGTCAGGTAATTTTCATCATTGAAATTTATTTGATCATATAGGCAATATTTTTTTGAGTACTACTAAATTTCTGCTTTAAGGCCCGGTTGGACTATCTATATATCTCGTGTAGTTAGTTCTTGTTCCTTGTTTTTTTATCTGAAACTTAGGTGCAGTTCT